GCAGCTAATTTATAGATTCAAATATTATTTGTGTGTAGCCAAATGTGACGGCGGCGCTGGATGCTGTTGGTTGGCTTATCAACTGACCTCTCCGGCGTTGAGGACACCCCTACTACCTATGTACATACATATGTACATATGTATTAGACTAGAAAAACCTAGTTTCAACAATTGTTTATTATTAATCATTTTTTGTAGTGGTTGCTTGTGTAGTTTTAATATTTTAGGTGATTACTAGTAGCAGCAGATATGAACCGAATAACAGAGGCACACATACGCATATATATTCACATATGCATCTATATATGTATGTATAATTGTATGTGCACTTGCAAATGTATGTAAATACGTGCTTGTATACATTGTTAATAATTACAACAAATATTTGTCATTTTGTAATGTTTCGCGAAACGCAGCTTAGTAAATATTGACTATTTTCTTATCGCTTATTCTTTTACGAAAGTGAGTTTGTCTGATATTTTTAATACATACTAAGCATTACTCTTACGATTTTACAAATCAATTCTGGCAATTGTCTTTCAACTCACCACTTTTGTCTTTCGTAAGACAATTGTCAATTCTGGAAACTATTTTGACAGCTTTTTATTGTCTTTCGAAAGACTAATTGAAAAATATGCTAATGCTCTTAATGCTATGCTTTTTAACAAAAAATAAGTTTTTTACAAATTAAATGAAATTTAGAAAAACATACATATATATTGTTATTTTTAAAGAATAAGAAGTAAAAAAAGAAAAAACCAAATTAAAAAAGGTATAGAAAAAAAATTTTATGTAATTATTTTAAAAAACTATTTTTTTCTTAAAACAATAAAATCTAAGATTTTTTTTAGAAAAGGAAAACATTAAATAAAACAAGTAAATAAGTATAAGTTCGGGCGAAATCGAACTTTATATACCCAGCGCACATACTAAATATCGTATTTTCACCTTTCAGTAAACTGCATGATAAGCAAGAGTATTTTTCCCGATGCCAAACAGTTTTGATAATATGCCTCCATAATATCGACTGCTGAGTGGAAGATCGACCTATCTCGGCAGCCACTTCGAAAACGCCCTATTTCAAAAAACTTTTCAAGAACGCCCTATTTCAGAATTTCATTGAAACACAATCTATCTCAGAATTTGGTTGAAGAACGCCCTATTTCAGAATTCGATTCAAAAATGCCCTATCTCACTTCAAAATGTATTGAAAATGTGCTGATATAGGGCGTTTTTGAATCGGCAACTGAGATAGGGCGTTTTTGAAACGAATTCTGTAATAGGGCGTTCTTCAACCCAATTCTGAAATAGAACGTTTTTGAAAAGTTTTTTGAGATAGGGCGTTTTCGAACTGGCTGCTGAGATCTTCCACTCAGCAGTCGATATGCTATGATACATTGAAATAATTGGAGTAAGTTTGGTTTTAATCGATAAGGCGGTTATCGTTATACACCTATGTGTGTATGTGATCATAACATGGTGGTGCCACGCCATCTTTAGTTATTGAAATATCGGAATTTTCGTATTTCTGAAACTCACCGTTATGTGGTAAGGACCGATAATTTTAGTCCGATTTCAAAAATTTTCAACATATTGCTTTTTTGCGCCAAGGTTGATAAATGTGCCGAGTTTGGTAGAAATTGATGACCCACTTACCGAGATACGCATATGTATGTAGGCGTAAGTAGGCGGTGCCACGCCCATTTTCCAAAAATTTCCCTAAGTATCATTTTCTGCTGAGAGATAATTTTGTATATCGATTTTGAGTAAATTAGTTTAAATAGTTACTAATAAATATAATTTTTCGTATTTCTCTATAATACCGTTATATGGGAGGTGGACAAGTTTCTTGTCTGATTTCAAAAATTTTCAAAGGGTTTCTTAGTGAGGCTCTAAGCAATGTTCGCACCGAGTTTGGTGGGAATTCGTTAAGGGACTACGAGATGCAGCATTTCATCATAAGTGGGTGGTGCCACGCCCATTTTCAAAAAATCTCATAACTTTCTTATTTAATGCCAAAATTTTACTTTGCTTACCAACTTTCTGCAATTTACATCCAGTATTTACGTAAATATCGATTTTTTGCATATTTCGAAAATACCGTTGTATGGGAGGTGCGCGTGGTTATTGTCCGATTTTGCCCCTTTTCAATCCCAAACTAATAAAAATTGTTTCACATTCCACCAGTGGACTTGGTAGCCAAGAGTATGTAGTGAATTCAGCAGACCAAATTGTACCACTTCCGAGTCGTATTATGGTTACTGGATCGCTTCTATATCGGAGTCATCTGAAGGCACATCATCTTCATTATCGTCCACAATCTCTTCAGTCACCAAGGGCTCATCGTCACTATTTTCCTCTCGTAAATTTCTAATTTCTAACGAAGGTATTCTTGAGGTTCTTCAAAATCAAGTGCACTAATTTGTCGTGGAGTGAACCTTATACCGTTCGCCATTTTTACTTGTATAAATTTTATTTAGTTGCATAACACTTGATAGATAATAAAAATAATTTATCTCTTCGGTCTCCGAATTCCCACAACATGAATTATAAGTAAATATCAGAGCTTTTTTGCCTACGGCTTCCTCAGGTCGATTTAATAAGCATCGCAAGAATGAGTTTCCGCTTCCTGCACAGCCATTTTTTCACATAGCCATTCAATTTTTGTACCTAAAAAATCCCGTTTGCATACATTCAGAAACCACCATTATAAAGTGTTTTAAGAAACTCATTATTTATAATTTAATTTTATCTTAAAAATTGTGCTTTCAAAAGTTCACTATGTGTTCATAAATTGGTCACGAGATTAACCAAATCCCACCAGTTAATTTTTTAATACAAATTCCTAGCATTTTCCCACAAAAGATGCTCGCATTTGCCCAAGCCGGCGTATTTTCACCTATGCACACACGCACATAAGTATATATGTATGCATATATGTGCATACATACAATCTCTCGTACATATGTATATGCACTATTCTATAATGATTGCTCTTAATTGAATTACAGCACTGACCTACTCAACGTTTATTTGCCTTTTGGGATTTATGCGTAGCTTCAACACGATGAGAACTAGTAAATACTAAATTTTTATTAGCAGGGGTTGGCAATTGCTATTAAGCATTGGTCACTGAGTGATTATATATCTCTTGCCTGCATACTTTTAGGCAGTTTAAATTTAATACGAAAAGCTCGACTTAAGCTTGCAATAGAAGATAAAAACATTTTGCTATGAAATTGTATACGCAAAACACGTATTTAGTTTGCAATTGGGGGAGACATTTTACCGTTTAAAGAAATTTCTCTGTGACAATGCCAACGCTCAAATTCTGTTTATGAAGTCAAATGAAGTTGAGCCATTTTTTGTCTTCAGCACAAATTTACAATATCCCCACACAAATTGTATTAATTGAGATTACATACCCACATTTCATACATATAGTATAGAAGGCTTGTATTTGCTATGTAGATTATTAGGGCAACTTAAGGCTAGAAAATAATTAGAAACACACTTCAATAAACCACAGGCAGAAGAGTGTAGTTAAATTTAAAACTATTATACTGAACATACTTACTAGGGTAGCCTTTGCATTTTTATGCCCAAGCGCACTTGTTCACAAGGGTATTATAACTTTATTCACATAACGGTTGTTTGTAAAAGGTAAAACGACGGTAGATATAGACAAATGTATACATAAGTGATCAGGCGGTGACTGTCTGTCCGTTCGTCCGTCTGTGTACACGATAACTCGAGTAAAAATCGAGATATCTTAACGAAACTTGGTACGTACACTTCTTTCGGGCGTAGGACGGATGGTATTTAAAGTGGGCAAAATCGGACAATAACCACGCCTACCTCCCATACATCCGAATTCGGAAAATATTTTTATGTCTTGCTAGGAAGTATTTTGTTTTGATGGTCCTCTGCCGTAAAAGTTTTAAGGGGATTCCAAGTGTCGTCCGTGCAGGTTCTCTACGTGCGATCAAAAGCGGCTTTAAAGTCGGCTGTACTCATATTCTACTTATATATCTGTCATCTAAATAAACCTACCTACCTAAATAAATCTACCAGCCGCCCAAGAATATTACGTTGAATTTTAGAAAAATAAGTGAAAGTAGGTTTTGTTATTTTAAAGCCAAAGAACTTAAACTGCCATTATCTTCAAGATAACTTTTATACCAACATCGGTATATGTATGCACATGGATGGCTTGTTCTACTTATAGGCACTCACTTCCTCACAATTCTAAATTACTTAATAACCCCGTTCTTAGTTACGAATACGATTTTCATATATGTATGCATCTGTACATATATATGTTATGCATACATTAACACGTTTGTGTTTGCTTTCAAACTAAAA